TTTTTCTTTTTATTTTTATTTTTGCATGTTATCACTGTGCCCGTTTTTTGCTTTTATTCTTTGTTTCGCAAAGTGCGCTCTTTTAGTTTGTAGTGATGTGACAATATATATATATATATATGTATATGTATATATGTATATATAGAATTCAAAGGCTAAAAGATCAACTAACTGGGGTACAGGTCGTATAGCATGAAAGAAACTTTAGAAGCACATAAGGGAGTCAGGACCATAAGGCCCTGTTTTGTTTTGCTTTGTTTTGTTTTGTTTTGTTTTTCAAAAAGAATGCACATAAGGGTCCCCTTTACTGGAGACGGTCATGAAGGATTGCATGAAATAAGGAGGATGCCTCTCGATCCAGGTAAACCACGATTGTCCTTCTGGACCTCCTCTCAATCGAGAATTTTTTGTGTGGGCTATGCTCTGGAAATGCTTGGGGCGTGTGTCGAGTGTGACTTCGGGGTGTCCTCCCTTTTCCTCCTCTTTTTTATTATGTTGAGGAAGAAGCCCTTTTCTTTCAGTATTGCGGAAAAACGGGTTCAACGTCTCTTCATGAAGACACCACTCACGCACAATTTCCTCCGTTAGTGTTGAGAATTACTTCTTTTCTGCTATGGGTGAGGTTGAGTAGTACAAAGTACTACAAACACTTAATCACACACAAGATCAAGTCCACAAAACGACATGACCAGTATATGAGTTGCACGATCACCTTTTCTACTGCTATGGCCTGCTCTGCTGTCTTCCCCCCAAGTGTTGCTTGTCCTGCCCGCGTCTCGGTGTCGTTAGATCCGTTCTTTGATGCTTTTAAGTTTTAAGAGAGAGAGACTGATTTCGTAATTCTCACCTTTGTTGCCGGTGTGTCTGAAATTCCCACTCTTCGAACTATTTTCCAGATTTCAAAAATGTTTCAATTGTTGCGCACTATATCAAGGATCGCACAAAGAATGCGCAATTCGTCATCATCAGGTAAATGTGACCAGCCAGCTGTTTCAAACTCCTTGTGACTGTGAAGGAGGATTCTACGTAAAGGCCTGCAGTCCCTGTGCGCCCAAACAAACATAGTTAACCCTAAACCCTAATATTATACAACAGCCCTGGTTAGTCATTACAAGGAGGCCCACCCTGTTGCAGTTTGGCATTGGTTAAACCACCACCACCACCACCACCACTACCTCGGAGCCTCTTTTTTTTTTTTTCGCAAATTTGGAGAGGAACTGCTGCGCGCCTTTTATAGAGGAACTGCTGCGTGTCAAGCTTTACAGAGGCGTCAGCGCGACCTCCTTTCTTTTGTTTCGGCTTGCCCCGGCAGCCGGCAGAAATTCTGGTCCAGCACCGCCCGGCCTCCGAAGAATGCGGTATAGGTTATATTTACGACTTAACCTTTGCCTCCGAAAGGTAGCAGTGGTTTAGAACTTAAAAAAGTTGAAACTTTCAAACCAGCACTATCCTTGTATAAACGCCTGCTTGTGCACTGAAAAATTGTGAAAATAGTTAAACCAACACCACCCTTGAGCTTTATTTTGTGTGGCTATGTGCTCTCCCCCCATTTATTAGTCATGATGTTTCTTTCCTTTTTTTTCGTCTTTTTTTTCAAGTTTTTTCTTTTTAAATACACAAAGCCCTGTCTATTCTGGGGGAGCTCCGTCAGTCCGGTTGCTTATTACCTGCAAGCAAGCAGGTACAAGTGGTAAAGAGAAAGCGCGGCACTAGACGCCTAACAAGGGGTTGAAGGGGGGGGACTGCTATGAGTCGACCCACCCTCCAGGCCCTATCCTTCCCTCAAGGGGTGCTTCTGCTGGCCAAGAAGCTTACTGGCAGCACCCAGTCACGCAGCAGATGGATTCCAAGGGACGGAGGGTACTGGGGGGCGCTCGTAGCAGTCTCTCAGACCGCATGTATCGTCCCCGCCCTCAAATTTCTGACATTCTTCTTGTTTTCTTGATGACAGCTGTTGCCTGGCGGTGTTTACGATTCCATGTGTCTCATACATGTAATTTCTTGAATGCTATCACCAGATTCACCATTGATTTGACGATCTGGCAGACAGGTTTTTTTTTTGTTTTTTGTTTTTTTTTTTTTCAGGGGGGGGGGGGGCGTCATGTCTGCAGGGGGGATGCCTGCGTTTCAGGAGGTAGTAGTTGCTTAAGGTATATGCTCTGTGCAGTAAAGTAATAAGAATCTAGTTTTTGTTATTAAATCTCTATAGCTATGTAGTGCATGCTCTTTGCTGTAAAGTAATAGTAATCTAGTGAGTTGAACCTCCTATAGCTATAGTCCTCTAGTGAGGTGTACAGCACAGTGCATGCTCTGTGCTGTAGATCCTATAGCTATAGTAATCTAGTGAGTTGAACTTCC